GGTAGTGTATCACACAAAATAGCTTTCTTAGCGGGTGAAATAGTTTCAGGGAATTTAATATCAAATGAAACCAACAAATCTCCTCTTCTCGATTGTTCTTTAGCATAYGGAAGACCGTATCCTTGAAATCGTTTTACTGTCGTAGGTTTAACAACTTCTGATTTTAAGCTGATAGGAAGTTTTTTATCAGTTAAAGTAGGAACTACAACGTCTACGCCACAAAGTGCCTAAAAAATAAAATATTTTTATTATATTTAAAATATTGATAAAAGATGAATAAATAATAACTTACTTGTTTAAGAGTAATTGGAACTGTATATCTAATATCATTTCCATCACGTTTAAAAACTGGATGAGGTTTGTCTCTTATTACAAAAACAATGTCTGAAGGTATTCTATTCATTGCCTGATCTCCTTCTTTTTGAAATGTAATTTTAGTACCTGATTTCCATCCAGGTTTAATATTGATTGTTAACACTTTATCTTCTTTTCTAGAAGTTCCATCTGCTTGGAGCACTCTTCTAGAGATTTTCATTTTTTTTGTACACCCTTTACTTATATCCTCTAATGATACATATACTTCATGTTCAATAGCTGGGTCTTGAGCTTTTTCCTTAGTTCTTCCCATTGGTGAACCGTGAACGTTGAACGACTGCGACCTGAAAGCACCCATGCCAGGTGGTCCATGTGACATTCGAATAAAACCATCATCAAAGTCCATTTCGTCATCAAACATTGAACCACTGTTACCAAATATGTTGCCAAATGGATTTGATGAGCCAAAGAACTGTGCAAATGTGGCTCTAGGATCGCCATGGAAAGTATATGAATAGTTGTTAGAATTATTTCCTTGGCCAGCACCTCCTTTAAGACCATCTTCTCCATATTTATCATATATATCACGTTTTTTTTTATCACTTAATACTTCATATGCTTCTGCTACCTCTTTGAATTTTTCTTCAGCTCCTGCACTCTTGTTTTTGTCTGGATGGTATTTGAGCGCCAATTTTCGATATGCCTTTTTAATTTCATCATCTGCAGCTCCCTTTGACACTCCTAGGATTTGGTAATAGTCTTTTCCCATCATATGCTAAAATCAAATTCAACTGTTATTAAGGATTTCATAATTGGGTGATTGTGATTGTGATAAGTACATAAATACATTTACAATGCGAAAAAAAATATTTTTGTCTGCTTTAATRAATATTTTATTTAATAAGTATAAATTTCATGATAAAGTTAATAATTGTTAAGATAATTATTGATGGTAGGTATAACAAATAGTTATATTTTATTCGTTTATTATGAAATAAAAAGGTTGACCACTACTTTTCTGCAAATATATCAATAATTCATAATTGTTAAAACATTTGTAATATTTAAAAAAACAATACATATGATCTGAATTAATGCCTATATTTTATTTTACTCTATTTACCTAAATGTCTGTTATGCATAATAATTTATAAWAGTAAATGCAAACATATTTAATCATTTGTAAATGGAATAGATAAATAAAAATATTAGTAAAATAGGTAAAAAAAAAACATTCAATTCCATAATGTTTCAGATCAGAAATATTAAATAAAAATAGATATATTGTATTTATTGCCATAAACAACCAATATTGTATCAAATTTAGACATTACAGATAAATAAATAAAATATTATTTTGTAAACATTAAGTGTAMAATAATTTAAGCAGAAAGCATTTAAGAAACTATACCAGAAAAGTAAGCTTAATAGGTAGGAACAACTTTTTTAATCAGATCACCATTTGGTTATAATAACATAAATGTATTATTTATGAGTTCTTGAAAGGTCTCAAAGTAAGAATTAAACAACTACCTAGTATAGTAGTAACTTTGAACTCTCTAAACTTGCATAGATGGAAGAATGATACAAAATATATACAATACCATATAAGTCCCTACTAACAAGTCATGGTTATAACACTTTAACAAAGAGTAATAGGTCGAAATTATCTTGAAGTAGTTAGACATAAAACAGAAACCGAAATTTATGTTAAAAAATGTATAATCGAAAAAAATAGACATGGACATAGAATAAAAATAATAGATAAAAAAAAAATAGCACATGTATATTCTGCTTACATATCCATCGCATACAGAAAATAACGATTTACACATAGACGCTAGCACACATCGATATAATGTACAATTTCTAACTTCCAAAGACGAGTAAAATAATAATAAATTAATAACATTCTAAGTTTAACCTATGGGTAATCCAATTATTTWTAACGTAGGAAGTAAAAAGTCAAATTACTTACTGGTAGTGAATTATGTTCTTTCACGAGTAATTTTCACTTCAAATATGTCCACAGGCGTAAAATATAGTGTAGCATATAATTATTTATTTCAAAATATTTATGGCCAGTAGTTACTTGTTAGTTGTTATGAATATAATGAATTCGTATTTATTAAATACTATTTAAAAGTAATGTTTTCATGAAAAAATTGTATTTGCGTACTACACCGAAAGTGTTTATCGAATGGCATTGCACAACACTATAGGACACTAAGTCACTAACCCACGAACGGTATACATATACACGCGCAGCGTATCAAAATCGGGGATAGAATATTCTAGAATCCACCAGAAGAACGTGGAAGAATAAGATACTCGCCATGGAGGAAAACAGACGGATCATTTGAATTTTAATTAATCTTGATTTCATATTCTAGATAACAAATTAACAAAAGATTTCTGATTTTTGAGATTTTTCATAATTTAAGTGAATTTTCCTCTGTCCTTTCAGGCTTTCAGCATAATTTAATATTTTATAATAATTAATGTTCTAAAACATCTTTTGTACTCAATGTCAATGATAATCAAAGATAAATTCAAAATCGTTACAATTTATAATTAATTTCGAAATTTCAAACGTTTAACACTGGTGTTAGGTACGCGAAGGCGTTTCTTTTCGCTTTTATAGTTACGCCCTCGCCCTTCACCAAACAGAATAAAATTGTCTATAACTAGGATATCTAGTATAAGTATAATATATATTAAA